CTGCAGCGGTGGTGGTCACGGCTGCGGCGGTGTCGGCGGCTGCGGCTGTGGTGGTTGTGTTTGTTGCTTCTGCTGCAGCAGCTGGAGTAGATGCGGCTGCAGTTGATTCTTCAGGTTTTGTGCTATAGGTACCAAAAAAAAAAGGGATCAGTCATATACAAGCATGGGAAGGCTTAAGGGTTTAGGGAAATCTGTAGTTTAAATAAGATAATGAAATAGGAGGTTTAGGCCGAGGTACCAAGATTGTATCTCAGAAGAACACGAAACAATCTTAGCTGAGAGAAAGGAAACTGTCTATCTGTGTAGATCAATCACTTCAGTTAAAAAGAAACCTAAGATATAGTTGAGTTTTTATATATTAAGCCACTATTTGGAATGAAAAGCTACAAGGAGAATGTTTTAACATTCAAGGACTAGATTCCATTTTTAAGAAATAGGCAGCTTAAAGTAAAAAAACATTAGCCTACCATTAAAAACATACCTGTTTTCTTCAGCTTTGATCATTGCTAGAGGAGAAAGGGGAAAGAAAAACAAAAAATCAAAATACAGCTTCAAAACTAGTTTATATAAAGCATGGTAAAAAGTTACTGTTAACATGGTTTAATAAAAGCATAGTTTAAATATTTTTGTTACTATCAATAATTTTAATATTTGTCCCCTTTGAAGACTGAAATCATTTCAGAACAAAACAAAATTTAGAGATCCCATTAAAGGATAATTCGGGTATACAAAGAACAACTTCTTGGTTTAAAATAATAATTTCAACATTAAAAGACTTGTATGAACAGAAAGCCAGGCTTACTGAAACAGATCTTTCCTCCTCTTTTATTCTAAGTCGCTGATGCTTATTCTTTGTAGTACTTTTTAAAATACTCATTTCTTACCCCAGCTGATTCTGTATATTTTTCATCAGGATCTTATTTCCCTTACAATACCAAACCAAACCGTGCTAAAAGCTAAAAACAGGAGCACAGCATCATATGACATTGGTACAAAAGGACGCACTGCCTTTATAATACATACGAGCAATAAAAAAACTACCCCAATTTTTGCCACATCACAGTTTCCGAAAATGTTGTCAAAAATTAAAAGTATATTTACATCTAACAGAAGTTTGACTGCTATGCTTTGGTATCAAGTTTTTGCCAAAAGTCATGCATATGCACAGCTTGCAACTCCCCTCCTCATTTTTGTTAGCATTACCTTCAAGATCCTCTAGCTCCTTGGGTTTTGCCCAGCGCGATTCCTTTGTCTGGGAGTTATAATAGTAGGGCTTTCCAGAATCAGACTTGTACTCTTTCCAGGGACATTTAGACAACAGTTGCTAATGGACAGAAAAAAAACCCATAAAAATCAAACTTACAATGGCATTTTAAAATTATAAGGACAGTTAGAAGGGAGCCACCAACACCATGCCAAGAAATAACTTAAGGATCAATGAATACAAGGCATAGACTTTCCAAAGGAAAGTGATAAACAAACACACCACTTACCTAAACATTAAAAAAAGCCATCTTTCTAATAAGGAAAATTCATCTAAAAACTGGTGAAAACTGTCGATTTTGAGGCCTCAAGTTACAACCAACATAAAGAACGTGATATAAACATTTTTGCAACATTTCTTATTTGAAGAGTTTGCTTCCAATGGGAAAAAATAAAACCTACTGGCAGAGCTGTCCTCCTGCACGAGCTATGCTATAAATTCATGTGTTCACCCAAGCTCCCACAGGAATCGTCAGTTGAATTTAGTTTACCTCAGCAGGTGTTTTGAGATCATCTGGCTTCTCCCATGTAGACTGCTTTGTTTCAGTATTATAGTAATACGTTCTTCCATCAGGCGATTTGTGCTCTGTCCATGTGGATTTCTAGGAAAAGTCAAAGCCACCATTAACGACGAACAGTAACTGCTGACCAAGATGCTAGCAAAAGCCACTAGAAAAGGTGAAATACAAGCGGAAAGCAGATGAACCTGTTTAGAGTGCTCTTCGTTAACAGAGCTGTTGGTTGTGGCAGTTTGCTGGGCTGCACAAACTACGGGATGCGTTGTCTGAGGGCGAAACAAAACAGAGCTCTGAAAAGACATTCTGGTTAATATACACATTCAAATGAAAACCAAACATTACATACACTAATTCAGCAGCAAAAACAATACAGCAAGTCAAAATCTCAACATTTTTAGGTCGGTATTGTTTTCAAGAAACTACTTCTTTGTGGCAAGAGCTACTAAGAGCCTCGCACACCCCCTCCCATTCAGTGATCCAAGGAGCCAATTACCATCAGAAAGGAAAGCAAAAGCGAATGCAACACCATGTTTTCTAAACTAAGAAGTTTTCTTCAAGAGGATTCTGACTTCAAGAGTTCAGTGGGAACTCAGGAGCACCTTCCTACTGCTTTTTATCAGCAGTTTTTATATAAACTTGCTGAAATACACAGAGTTCAGCTTAAGCCATCTGCTCTATTCAGTTACTGGGTATGGCTGAGGAGAAACAACTCCCTCACAGCTCCAATTGCCTTGTCCAGCTACAAAATCTCAGAAATAAAAGGGCAGTTGATATTCACTAATATTTAATCATTATGTTAGGTACAAGGTCCCCAAACTTCAAAGCAATCACCTTAAAAAGCTTACAGTGGGGTATCTTTGAGGCCACATGACTGGTTTTACAGATTCTGCCTCTTAGTTACCTAGCCAAACTACTTCCTTCATCATCTTAAAAACTGGAAGTAAATGTCTGGGATACATTCTAGAGAAGTTATTTAACAGTTACAGAATTGTAAATAGGAATCTGAGTGACCGAGTTATTAATGGTCATTCAAGGTGCCAAGAAAGGAATTAAAAATGTGACATTACTTCCAGGTGCCCTGCCTACCTCAACACAAAGTTATATCAATTCACAGGTTTCACTACTGAGATGTACAGCACCACTTCTAGTCCATCAGCCTACCCACTATTTATTCCTACTCAAGCTACCAAATTATGCTATGTTCCCACAAACATGGAAGGAGACATTAAAAAAGCAAATTTCAAATAAAGTTAAGACTTGGGGGGAGAGGGGAAGAAGATAAACTGAAATACCAATGAGCAGTAAAACTGACCAAGTGGTGATAACCACTCTTTTGAGGTCAGGACTTTATATACTTCAAAAAACAGAGTAACGATTTCGAAATTACTATGGGTAACTGTATCAGCTATTCTCTTTTTATTGTTCAAGTGTTTGGTAACAAAGCTCTCAGTAGGCTGATGATGCTAGTAAATAAATCAATATTAAATCAATAAATAAATCATATTAAAAATATAAATTCAATAAATCCCTCAGGACTGAACACCACCAGAACCTTGACCTAAGCAAGGCTGTGTTAAGGAGCAGCAAGGAGCACTTAATCCTTGCCTGCTGGATTCTGCTAATCACATTACAACTGCCAAAGCAAAACAGTCACTAATATGTAACAGGCAAAAAGTTACCCAAATGTAAGTAAAATAAAAATCTGCTTATTGGTCATTCGTATAGAAGGGAAAAAGACGAAAAACACAGAAAGAAGAACAAGGTTCAGTGCAAATAAAAGCCCAACTCTACCCTCAGTAACTATCCAGCCCCGCACTTCCCCACACTGCCATTATAATAGATTATAATAATAGATTTTTGGTTTTCACGTACCTGAGTTCCAGGAGGTGTTACACCTGAAAATAAATACAACAAAAATTAAAGGGTTTGGATGCTTTAATTTTCTATGTAAAGATTCTGATTAATCAACATTTGGAAGAAGAAAAGAATTTCCTGGGAATTAATGAAGGCGTCAGTTACTGAAACGCTAAATCACATTTTACAGAAAAGGTTTGGTTTTTTAAATGCCTCACCTAGTTTTGGTGAAATACTTTGAAATGGTAACGAATTGTTTATACTTACCTACTTGTGCGTCCATACTGTTCACCCCTGGCTGTAGAGATAATGAACAGACGTTTAAGCACCGAGTGCAATTGTAGTAAAACCATCACTAAACAGAGAACATACCCAAACAAGTGCTATCAGTAACAGAATTCTCTACTGCCTTTAATTTGGATTCCAGCTTCCCAGCACCCACTTAATTATTACTGCTCCTTAAGTAAGTGATCAGGAACACCAAGCTTTCATATATCTCAAAGTCAATATATACAATAAACTCCACCAGGAGTCCCTTGCCATCGTTCCAGTACCCATCTTTATCTCCCAAAGGAGTATGTTGGGAGGGGAAAAAAAAATTAAATAAAAAGATATTCTGAATTTCAGCTGGAATAGCTTACTAGGCTTCTGCTGAAATTATGTGTTCTAAGCCTAGCGTTGAATTTGTTGCATTCATAAAACCGCTTGCAAATAACCAAAGCTTTCACAGACACCCTTTTGGGTATTCTTTCAAACTAAAGAAAAAGATAAACACAGTTCAAAAAGTTTTCCCATTTTCTTTTTCTGCAGGCACGAATATAACTTACAGGTTTATCTTTTGCTAGGGTTTATCCTTCAGCTCTCTTTTTTAACAAAATATTCAAGTAAAACTGCAAAATTTGTTAGAAAGAGACAAGAAATCATAGCGGATCAATTATGTTTGATATTATCCAAAAGGACTAAACCAGGGGAAGTGTCAACAAACTTTAGGCCTCAAGTACAACCTGTAAATTAAAAAATTCCAGCTACTGTGTGCATGTGCATATGGTCCAAGAGCAAAAGCACTGTCAGCCAGAGCGAAACCACAGTTAAATTTGTGTTTTTGCTAAGTAACCCTTCTGATATGTGTCTGTTCTTGTGCCTATGTCTACTTTCCCAAACTCCATTCTAATTTGCTGCACATTGTAATAGCACTAATCTGACCAAAATCCTCATTCTGAGGCATTACACTGGCTCTATTCAGCTTTCTGGCAGTAAACCCTTCTGTCGATCACAAAACATTTTAGACTTGGAGAAGGTATTTTCCATCAGGCAGACAAAATTCTCACCAGTCCATAACCTCAGGCAGTTTACCAAGAAACCATCAGGGCTGCAAAGACAGTCACAAACTTTTTACTCATCTACAGATTTGGAAGTGGTAAAATCACTCTTATTTCTGAAAGACTTTCCAGGCTGTGGTACCCATGCCACAGCAGAGAGGTACAAGAACACTCCCACAACAGACAAATGCCTTCTCTCACCCACGCAGAGGTGCAAGCTCCTGCTCTCACTGCCAAGAGGGTTAAGGGCAAAGTTAAAAGCTGGAGCCCTCTGCCACACTACTTTGCCTCCTAAATACCCTCTATCCATAGACTTAATTCAACCAAAATTTATTCCTAATCCCTATTAGAAGCCCAAACGATCTGCCTTCTTGTCAAAACATGTAAAAATAAAAAGTCAAAATCAGACTGACTTTAGCACTGATCCTCCCCTCTCCTTTCAAATCTCTTTTGGCCATAGCATTTTTAAGACTTCTCTCTGAAGGTCTGAAATTCTTTCAAACTTTTCCACAAGCATCACCTGTCAGAAATTTGTAACAACTACGGATGGGAAACAGAGGAAACTCATTGACATCCTTCCTACTTGGTAGCTTCTAAAATATTTAGTGCATTAGGAAGCACCGACACGAGCACAAGGACTAATGAAGCACAGTTCCCAAGAATTTGCCTAATGAGTTACTGACTTTTACTTCAATTACACCAAGGCTGTAATGTACCCTCACATCTCATTAAACAGAGACCAGCAGCAAGAAGCAAACTCGTAACTCACAGGCAAATTCTCCAGTGTCCAATAAAGCCCAAGCAATGAAATTTCTCTCTCCACTGTTAAGATAATTAATGTAATTTCTCCGGTATGAAGTCTCAGCCATCAAGGACATGTCAAGGTGACACTGCATCCTTTTCCTAACACTCCCTTCTTTATTTATTTTGCAGAAACTTAAATATCTTTATGATCTTTCTCTCATTACTCCAGAGGGCTGATGGAGTGCTTAATACATCTGGCTACACACAATGTATTTAGTAGATGAATTAAAGATCTCTTTCAGCCAACTCTTAATGAAAAAAATGAGTATTAACCAACTCTTAAAAATTAACAATAAAAGCAGTAAGCAAAGATTTTGTGCTCAGCATTATAAAAACCCAAGAGTTCTACAAGGATCAAATCTGAGTTGAGGATGTAGTATCTGTCTGTAGGAATGTCTACCATTAAAAAACAAAAGAAAAAAAACAACTTATGTCTGAATTTAAGCGGAAAGAACTGTTTTTAAGTGGACCACCTAAAGTTACTTTAAATCTCCCAAAATGTTATGTTAATAGGAAAGAAACGTAGCCTTTTAAACTTCAGAGAGAGACTTTACCTTTAAGTGAAGTCCCTCTCCATTCCTGCCCAAATAACTTCTTCATAACTTTACTGATTTCAGCAAACTTTACCGAAGACCTCAAATGCGCTGGATTTCAGAAACTTTTATGAAAATACAAAATCTACTGGTCAGACCATCAGCCTTCCCTCCAAACAGCCAGAGTTCACACTGGTTCCTGCCAAGCTACAAGCAGGTAAGGGCAAACAGAGGAGACCAGGGGCGTGGGAAGCAGAATCCAGAGAGAAATACGGATGGAAACTAAAATCCACTTGTTCTGCCTCTTGCAGAAATCTTATCTTTGAGAATAATTCAAGAGCTAGATAAAGCTTCATGGCCATTAGCAATACCTTTTTCATAACCCAATTGCGGAAAAGAGAGACATTCCCATACTGAAATAAGGACAACGACTGGCACAGGCATTTTAAAAACCAGAAAAGTGAAGTTAAACTCACCGGAACTGTGGGCTGCATAGCAGCCTGGGACATGTGAGACATCATCATTCCAGGCATTACTGACTGCATCATTCCAGGCATCTAGAATTAAACAGCATTTCAGATATATTTTATGACATTTTAGACACAGAATACGATGATTATATTTATTTAAAACCAATTATCTGGTACTAGCTTTTAATTTTTAAAAAGTAACTTTTAAGCACTTGGCAACAAAAAGTAAGGTAAGTTTGCAGAATTCTGATTCCCTTCATTACACTCCTACAAAACAGACATCAGGAGTAACACATCTACAGTATTCCAAAACCTGAGAGGAAATATTAATAAAGATGGCCATTTAAACTACAAAAGAACAGCAGCAAACGATAAGATACGTGATCTGTTAATAAGCTATTACTGAAATCCTAAATTAAAGCAGAAAAAATAAAGCTTGGGAAAAATTTCTGCAAAATTCCAAGGCCACACAGAACAAACCAAACAAAGGAAAGGTAAATTCAGAGTCCAAGATTAGTTCTGCTCATGTTTTTGACAACTTGCAACCTGCCTCCCTTTCCTCTTACCTCACAAATAGGAAGAAACGCTTGACAGGAACACTAGAAGAATGAATTTCTGCAAACAACTTCAAGATGAAGAGAGCTATTAAATTTAAACATCAAAGCTCTAAACCAATACTGAGCTCTTTGCTAAAAAGTCTGGACAACAAAAGTTATTACAGACATAAAATATTAAATCATGCGACAGTGTGAACTTGGTAACGGGGACACCCCACACTACAGAAATGAAAAGTTTAAGTCTGGACTTGTAACTGAGTTCACTGGGCAATCTGATGAGACCAAAACCCCACAGAACTGCTGCTCAGATAAGCTACTTTTTGCTCAAATACTTGTGCCTATAGTCTCAAAGGGATAGTCACGCAGAAGTTACGCCTCACTGCAGCGATGCACTGAAAAGACGTCAAAAATGCCACTGAAAAAAGTGTTTAATACCTTGCTTGTTTCCCATTATTTTTGCTGATCCCGGCTTTTAAGAACTCATGAGCCATAAAAAAGTGGTAAAAGGATCCAAATATATAAATTACTACGAACATGAATTTTTGGCCACTCATCCCAAACAGGTCTCGAGAAGTCAACCCCCTTCAACCTTTCAGTTACGCCCCTTTACCTTCAGTGTCCTTGGCAGGGTGGCCAAGTGACCCCATCCCCCTGTATCTTCAGGGAGCACCAGGTTACCACTCCCCTCATCTTGCATCTCATGTGGAGAGAGGGATATGTGGTAGGGCTACTGCTCCACCCTCAAATCCACAAGGTTTTCTTGGGAGGGTGAGGGAGGAAAGAAAGACTGGAAGGCGGCCCCTCCTACTTCTCGCCATCCTGTAGAAGCAGGAGAAGAAAGCACTCTTGCCCCACCGCTACTCGTGACTAAGGGGGCTTCTGAGCGTGTGAAACTTCTTAAAAGCCTTGGCTTAGGTCCTGAAGAAACCCTGTGCACTGCTCGGTTTCTGCATAGCACTAACCTGAAGTCAGCAAAAGAAAACAATAATTGGGAAGGAGAGTGAATTCTTCTCCTAAAAGTCCTTCCTCCGAATGATACTGACAGGAGGCTGTTGCTATTCTCTACGCCAAGTACCTGTCCTACAGGGGTTCACCTCAGAAAGGAGAAAAACAAGCTACAAAATATCCCATCCTGCAAAGCCTCACAAATAAACCTCTTAGATCTGCTGGGAGAAAGAGCTTAATCGTTCAAGGAAACAAGCTAACATGGGCTGATACCTCCAGCACAATAGTTCTGGTGTAAGCATACCATCACATCACATCCCATCCTTGAGGCTGGAGCGTAACTGAGCCTCTCACCTCCCTTCTGCCATGCCATCTATCTTTAGCTTTTTGCTCTACATCTACCAAAAAGTCCCAAGTTCTCTACGTTGCTCACTGAAATATTAAAGATTGAAACATTCAATATATGAAAGTGAGAACAGTGGCACAGAAGCTACAAAGGAACTGTTAAGCAGAGGAATAAAATAAGAATTGCTGTTTAAGTTTCTAACGAACTGAAGATGACCCTAATGCTCAAATCCTCACTTTTAAACCTGCATTCTTTTTACACCAGCAGCTCTAACAGGCTGCAAAACCATGTTGAAGATTCCTACTAAGCTTTTATACACCAGTTAAAAAAAAACCCAAACAAACCAAAACCAGCCTAAACCCCCATGCACTATCCAAGGTATTGCAAAAGAAGACATTGAGCTGCCAAGCATGATCCTGGGGGCTCTTCTCTTCCCTGCCATCCTCTGTGCACTCTGGTCTACTCCACCCCTCTGCTCTAGTGGATGACATTTAGTGTCTACTTATGCAAACCATCATCACAAGTAGCGTGAAGAACTTTTACTATATCCAGAAAGAGAACTGAACTTCTTTCAGAAGTTCAGAATTTAATCAGAAACCACACAGGAAAGGATCAATGATCATGTAAAATAAAAGCTGTACGTTTGTAAAAAGCATGGATGATTCTGGCTACTCTACCAGCAACCCAGGTTCTCACCTGCCAATCTGAATGGCCAAGTTTATTTCTCAATCACATTACACCAGCCACAACAGCGTATACACAGAACCATAAACCACTCCCTAGGACTCAAGCAGCATTCTGGAAAAACTCAAATTGTAATTATTTTTTTCCTTGCATCTTCCTATAATTTTCATCTGTATAGATGTAAGAGTTAGTAAAGAATTAAAGAAACATGAAGTTCTCTACCACTACTACCTCTGAAAAGAGCCACTACTTTGTGTTTCTAGTACATATTAGTAAGACAACCTCACTTCTTCAAAATACAAAGTAAACTACCAAAAAGCTTTAGTAAAAAACAAATTATGGATTCATACCTACAGCTATTTACAATTAAAGTTCCACATGAGGTGCACCAATTACCTGTTACAAATGAGAAGAGCTTCTGCATGGACAGGAACCATGGCATAAAATACCCTGAATTATCAACCTTACCATGTGCAAGCTCCTGTATGAGACTTACCGACCTCAGGGGTTACCTGACATCGTTATGGGATGGAAGAAAGGAAGAAGTAACCTTATACAACTGCCTTACCTGCCCCATTGGGGGTCCTCCCATGGGGGGCATCATCTGAGGCATCATACCATGCGGAACGGGCGGCATGTTTGGTGGGCGCTGACCCATAGGGTGCATTCCCATGGGCGGGTAATGGGGCATGCCTGGGTGTCCCATCTGAAAGAGAGCAACAAACGAGAAAAATCAGCACAAAGCCGACAAGCTAAACCACCACAAAAGCATTAATAACAGAGAGATGCTCAATGCTGAACTGAAAAGGAATCAGTTGGACTGAAGTTGGAAAATTTTAGATTGATTCTGCAGATCAGCAAGCAAGATCATTCCCTCCTCTGGCTCCTTTAGAGCTAGAGTTAATAATGATAATTAACAAATCCACTTAAAACTTCAGAACCAATATCCAAATTAAAAAAAAAAGCCTTCGTAACCTTTCATCTTATGGTTTGCCACAGAAAAACATACCAGATTTAGGAATGCAACTATCCCTGCGTGCTCTTCCAGACAACTACAATTAACACAAATAACTGTGGCACAAAAATCAATCACAGAAACAAAGCATTTCCTGCTCCTGATGTCCAGGTCTACACTCACTGCCACCCCCATTTCCGTGCTTTCCTAAAAACCTGAATCCTGTTGCTATTCTAACACTTGGTACAGTTACACTGCTAGGACAAACACTGACATTTTTTCCTATTTTAGTTACCAAAACATATCGAGAGCTTTCCATTCAGTTCAGAAGACCTTAGGATAAACCCTGGAAAGCATTTCCCTTTGAAGAGCATGACACTTACATTTATAACATATTTCTAAATGGGTGTAAGTGCATAGTCTATTAATATGAAAACTATTTCTACGCAAAATGTAATTTTAAAAGGGTCCTTAGCAGAAAAAAAGTAACACTTCTTTCTGATGTGTTTAAAAACAATTTTTCTGTGATTTTTATTTTCTACCAGACACTCCAAAGCTGGGAGCGGGCCGTTCACACAAAGAAATCACAACCAGAAAGGCCTGAAACTTCCAAATGTGACACTTGACCCCCCAACGCAGCTTGCCTGCTCACCGAGTCTCAGATGCTGCCCAAATAACTTCCCAAAGCTTCCTCCCCTCCTCTGCCTCTCCCTTGAGTGTCACCCCCTTTTCTTTGACTTCCTCAGGGCGCTGCCACACAAGCTCGTCACCCCCAGCCCCTTTCCCACCGGTCACTGTGACAGAGGGGCGGCTCGTACGGCGGGACCGGCGCTGGTGAAGCCTCCCCTCCGCTCAGCCGCACACCCACCCGCAGGT